CGGCGGTCAGCTACGTGCACAGCAACTTGCGAACCTCGCTCAAAACGGTAAAAAACATTATGACATCCATTGTGAATCGATTACCTTAAAAATTACCAGACCATCGACAGCGATTGCTATATGGAAGAAATCGGGCAACAACGACTCCATATGGAGAAACATAAAGTCCTCTTTCACAAAGACAATACGTCATATCACAAGTCATTGGCATCATGGCTAAATTCCACTAATCATATGGTACTTCGAATTGCTTCCGCACCTACCGCATTTGCCAGATTTGACCCCCAACCATTATTTCACTCGATAGCAAAGTGATACGCTTCCAACTGGATTATATCTCTTTGAAGCGATATGTATTTTGAATACGAAACTTTTGTTAGCAATTTAATGTTGTCTTGTAAAAAACGTAGTTTTTTTTTATTGCACACTAGACTATCTCATGTAAGTGTTTTATTAATTGATGTCAGAGATGATGCTGTTGATGGTGGTGAAAGCAGGTAATCACTGATGCTAATCGCATTAATTGAAAACGTTTATGTACTAGCATTTTAACAGATAAAATAGACAACTGTATTATACACGTATTATATACGTATTATATATTTTTACAAGCACTCATTAACATGCAATCGTTCATTCACTAAATAATACATTTTGAAAATCACAATTAAGTCAATCTGTTTTATGTACTTCGTAACTGAAGTGCAGTATTTTAATCTGAAATTACCGTTAATAATAAATTATTATTGGATCACAATTTTGAATCACATTTGTTTTAGCAATAAAATTAGATATTGTGCTACTTTTTCTGACTAAGTTTGTTAACAAAACTTATCAATTCACTTATTTGGCTTATATACTGAATAATAGTTATTCTGTTGCTGGAATAAATAATTGAAGAAATTAATAAAAATATATATTCGCATGAAGGCTATATATTTATTTTTTTGAGTAAATATTAAAAGTACGTTTTTTGTACTAGAAACACCTAAGGCATGCTAGAACTGAATACAGCCAAAATAACTACTATCACTATATCTATTAGAACAACGGCACTCAATTAATTATTTAATATCGTGGCTATCCTAACATTATTAATTTTTTTAAATATTTTCGATTATAATATTCTTTAATATTTTTAAATATTTTCCTATTTCAAATTGTGTAAAATAATTTTTTTTAATATTATTTCAGTATCGTGTAATTGTTTAAATTATAAATATTTTAGCAAATCTGCTACAAAAGAGCAAGTTGCTTTTAAAATTAAAATTAAAACTAATTTAGCTTATATTTGATGCAAATAGTAAGTCTACAAAAAATTTATGAATTAAAATTAACCACGCAAAGCTCAAATTTAATTTTTTTCCAACAAACAACTTTAAATTTTGCAAAACATTTAAACGAATTTTAATGCATTATCTTGTTTATTAACGTCAGCAATCTTAATGAAGTCAATCTCAAACATTATTAATGAATTATTTAAAAAAAATCGGAACATGTAGGAGTTATATTCACAATGTTGATATGTTTAGACATTTTTATAGCTTTATATTTTTGTATAATAATATGCCAAAATATTTATAATTTAACTTTAAAACTGATATATTTAAATAATCAAAATATACTGAGTTCTTATACACAAATTGCATCAACTTCGGGACAAAATTCGAAAAATTAAAAACTTTTATTGTTAGCTTCAGTTTTTGCGAGACCTACTAGCTGACAGCACACTTATCTGGGTTCCCGGTCATAGGAAAATTAAAGGGAATAAAAAAGCAAACAGTTTTGGTGTTCACTACATTCACTACACTGCAGTTCTCTCTGGTCACTGTTATGTAGGAACCCACGCAGAGGACCCATGCATTTCTTTTAATACTCACTCTTACAAAAAAAGTAATAATTAAGTAATAATAAATTTTCTCTCTAACCGCACAGCTTTGGCCTCCAGAAGAAACAAATTTATAAAGAAGTTCTTTATTGACTGTTAAAATGTTCATCAGTAAGTATGAAAAATCTGTTGAATAACTCAAATTTAACGGGACGGATTTAGTTTTTCTTTTTATCTCTTTAAGTTTCTTGAGAGCAATGTTGAAGTAAACCGAGGAAAAATTGCTGATTATGAACAATGAAAGATTATTAGCTTCAATTTTAGTAATTATCAAGAAATTTTAGTAATTATATGATAAACAGAATTCGGAGAAAAGTCTCACATCATAGAATCTTGAAAGTTATCAACATTAGCCGTAATTTTTTCTTTCAGAATAGCAAAAAAAGTACTCGAAACTTACAAAGAAAAAAGTATGAAAATAATACTCTTAAATCCCTCAGAGTTAGGTTTTATTCGTAAAAAAATTTATGTTTAAAATTTCAGTGCAGCCTAATCCAAAAATCAGTCTATTGTGAATATTTACTGAAAATATGTTGCAAAATTTCAGTTATCCGTTAAAATCATATGAGCATTTCATTTACAAATGATATAAAATAAATATATATAACACAACCAAAAATATATGTCAAAAAACAGCATTTAACATATTTTAAAAGTGATGCCAACTTTTTTTAACCAGACTTAATGTTGTTTTTTCACAACTCTGGAAGAAAAAATTACGGCTATTATTTTTTTATATATGTGTATATATAATGTATTTATTTATTTGTATAATATATGATGTGTATATAAAAAACACATAACATATATAAAGAGATTATTGTCATTTGCGTAGTAGGTTAACAGACAAGCAAATAATATTTACAAGAGTTTTTATAGGATACAGAAATTAAATGCATATAAGCAAACAATCCTTGGATTTAAGATCTAAAAATCTAATATTTAATAAAAGTTACTTGCTGTAGCAGTCAAATCATAAGTCTTATCGAACATTATTCGATAAAGATTGAAAGACTGTTATAACTGCTGGTCTGGAAAACCTTTAAATTTAGTTTGAAATTTAAAATACATCATGTTCAAACATTAACAATAAATTTATAATTGAAAAGTTAAAAAATTGTTTTAAAATTTATATGTTTCTTAATTTGTATAAAGTCGAATGCAATTGTAACGCTCACCTTAATAAAAGACTTAAGCAACAAACTTATTTACAAAAACTGATGTTAATGAAACTTTTAATGAACGCAAATCATTCAATCGTAGAATTAAACCTCTATACATATATGTAGTATATGCGGTATATGCAGTATATGTATTTTTATATACTGACGGCGAATGTTGTTCAAATTAAATTATGTTTTATAACAATATAAAAACAGAAAAACAAAGCAAAATAGTTGCACGCGTTGCATTAATTAAATATTTCCACAAAAACTTCGTTCAAAATGCAGCATGCAATAGCGTTCATTAATAGACAAAAACCTGTAAGTTGTGCTATGTAAAACTCCAACTGTGCAGCATAAAAACCTATTTGATAAATATTGCACAACCGCCTGATTTTAACTACCAATAGGCACTTATATTTTGACCATAAAATGTTATCCAAACTGATACCAGAAAGCAGCAAAGTGCTCGGTACATCGGATGAGGTTTAATTTCATTTTATGTTCTGCACTGAATCGTTTTTTAATTTACAATATTTACGTATTGAAGTCAAAAGATACAAATACAAATTTCTTAATAGCAAAATTTATTGCAATAAAAACTATTGAGTGAAATATTGTACTACTATTAAATACATGAGCTTTTTCTTCGTCTATGAAAGAATCGGTTGAGAAACTTATAAACTTCAATCAAATATACAATATTCTTTAATTTAAATATTTTTAGTAGTTCGTATAATCTTTTCTTCTTCATTTCGGTTCACTGAAAGGATCTCTCACTTAATAACATTCAGCCTTTTTATATCTTTATGTCTCCTTATCGTTTTTTTTAGTAGGTCTCTGTGTCTTGTTGTCATTGATTTGGGACTGAACAGACTTTTTAAGTCCTCTAAAAACCCAGTTCTACAACTTGTATTGCACTTGAAGTATCTGCTCTTTAAACAATCGTACAATATTTTCGTTTTTCAGTAATGAATTAATTTCTCGTCTTATTGGATCGGCTTATAGATTTGGCGAACAATTTTCCCTTTAGAGATCAGGTGAGTATCTTTCATCTAAGCTATTAATCGGATCTTTCTCAACTGTAAGTAATTACTGGCCTTATTATTGTTTTGTAGATTCCAAAGCTCATGCTTTGGAGAGTAGTCTAGATTTCTGAAGTCCAGGTTTTTATAATAACAACTGTTAGCTGCCTGCAGGCTGCTTTCTATTGTGCATTTGTTATCATTGGTTTTGTTGATTAACGTAACAAGATAGGTAAAGTTGTCTACAAGATCAAAGTTATATTTGCTATATGCAAAGTATTGTACCAGCTATATGCATATGTATCTGATAGTGTGATATTGTGGTAGTGGCACGGAGTTCTAAGAAGTGGTAAAATTCTAGAAAGCGTATTTATGGAAAACTTATAACATATAGCTGGTATGATTTAGTAGTTATATTCCCTCAAATTTCCAGGGAGTAAATTTCATAGTGTAGAGTTTAATACCTAAGATTATTTGATGCTGCATTGAAGAGTAACTTTTTCTAATGACCGCTCAAGAATCATTAAGGACTTCAAATCTTTTGAGACTATCAAGAGCCTGTTTAAGTAATCAAAAATCATAATAAATAGACCAACAAAATTTTAAAAAGCACCTACCCATGCCAAAGCAATAAAGATTTTAGATCTTATAAGACTATCAAGAGTCTATTTGAAGTCTACAAAAAGGATTTGTAGCCTTATGAGATTTTTATAACACTTATCGTGTTCATGGAACCATTTTAGTAGCAGCTTAAACTGGAATATCATTAATTGAAGAGCAAAAATTTAAAAAAAAAGGTTTTAATTTTTTTTGAATGGAAGAAGAAAAATGGCCTTTTATATATTTACATTGATTTAGATATGTATGCCGTTTTTTGTTTATGTAATAAAATTGATTTAATATCTACATATTGTCTGTGCTTACCAAATAGAAATCGATTGGTTTTTCACGCATTTTGTTATACGCTTTTTGTATCTCAGTTTGCTTGAGTGCATGTGCAATGTGCAGGGCGCTGGCATCGAAACGACCATATTTGTAGTCTGAATCATTCTGCGAAGGCGAACTGACTTCTCGGCTGCCATAACCATTTGGCGTAGACTGACGTGAGCCCAAAGGACCTGTAAGATTTACATTTGCTTGCAATAAAATACACACCATATCAATTGAATTATATTTTAGCAAATGTACTCGTATGCAAATATAAGGCATTCAAATTTAAATTAAATTAACAGCAAATATGGCGACTTAATTAAAATTCACACGTTTTGCGTGAATTAGATTTTGCTTACCGTCGACTTCGCTGCGTGTACCGCGGATTTGTTCGTTAACATATTTGTTGGTGCGCGGCGCATTCAAGGCTTGTCTTATGCCCACAGATGTTTGATCTAGGTGACCTGGTCCGCTCTTTGGTACATGTGAACTGCAATAGACCTGTTTGAAAATAAAATAAATAAATCATTTGATAGTTATTTACATTTTATCAACACATTTTTTTAAAATAAAATAAATAACAATAAATAATACTAGTAAAAAAACAATAATAACAAATAACTAACAATTATATATATAGTATATAACAAAATTTTTAAGTATTGAAGATTGAGGACACAATTAACTAATTACTTATATTTCGGTAATCTTATTGAAAATGTTTACTATGTGACCATAAATCACAGTTCAGCTGAAGAATGATTGGACTGGTGTAATATTGGTACAGTTGGATGCCGAAGAAGAGACCGACCTAGAAAGAGCTGGCTAGAAGATTCTGAAGAAGTTTTAATAAGCGATTGAAAAAATTTGACATCAGATCGAGTCAGATAGCAAGAATCGGTTAAGGAAGCACTGGTCCACCGAGCACCGTAATGCTAAGAAAGAAGAATATTGGTAGGGTGCTAGTACCCATTTATTATTTTACATAATGTTTGTAATTTTTGAGTATTCATTAATCAATAATATTTATATATACGTATAATATATGAGCGTAGTCAAGGAGACTAGAAAAATAAGGCGAAATAATATATATTATATTGAAAAGAGATCCTTTGAGCGAATAACTAAATGTAATAGTATTGACATGTGGTTGTTGTGGATCAATAAGATCAATTTTATAGAATTATGCAGTACTTTGATGATTATTATAGTGGGACGACTAATTTTTTGTTTTTCTGCTTTTTTTATATATGAGATATTTAAGTGTATAAGTATATTGTCACTAATAAGAATTATTGAAAAAACATATTATTAGGTAATTTAAGCAATATTGTACGTACAGATATTTTAAATATTCTATTCGTATTTTCATTAATTAATTAATTTTTACATCAAATGTGCATAATATGTAGGTGATTTTATTGCAAAATAGTCGATGCCCGCCAAATATGGCGGAGCTGTTTAGACCATTTTGACTAGCGCCATTTTGGGATTTGCGTAACTTTGTTGCCAGCCATTCAAAAATTTTATTATTATTAGTAATGACTCGATTGCGAGTTACGTATTTTTATAATCCACATATATAATTTCAGTATTAATTTAAAAATATTTTGTATAAACTATAAAAGGCGGAACAGGAAAACATAATATTCCTAACAAACTGTCATGATAACCATATTGAATGTGGCACACCGAAGCGATGTTTTAGACTTGAAAACAAAATTAAGAGGAAAATATTTGCAAAGGTAATTGGATTGCATCCATTTTTAAGAGATAATGAATAATTTGTTTATATAATATGTCTTCAGACTTATGTTTAGGTTTTTTAAAATCTTTTTTTAAAATTGAAAGTAAAAGATAATTTATCACTTTAAATAAAAGAAGTCAAATAATATTTAATTTTATCAATTTTTGAACCATGTTCTATGTCATTGAATCAATGTCTAGTGGACTGTTGCTTCATTGGCATAATAAGTGATTATATGGATACTAAGAAGACTTATTGAAACTCATTAACTGTATCTAGAAAATAAAATGCTTTTACAAAGTTAACGCAAGGATCTGTATTGTAAACAGATCCAAACAACAAATAAAAAATGGATCTTCAGTCAAAGTAAACACTATGGATGTACGTAGAGGTTGTACGCCTAATTCCATTGTATCGATCAGTAGTTTGGTGAAAAGCTTTGAATAAAGGATACACAATTAATAAACTTGGTGATATATAAAGGTCTGTAGTTTTACCGATAAAAATGATAAAATCATCCGGAGAGTGACATTCAACAGAAATATTACTACGATTCTACCCTCAAAGAAAAAGTGAGCAATTGGATCTTTGTTAAACGGTTCCGCTACAATTTTTATGGAAGACTTCCAAATGGATTGCAGTGCAGTGGCAGGTATATATCGCATTATAGAATGTAAGATATGTAAAAATTTTATCATAACAGTAACATTACAATGTAACACGCGGCGATTTCGCAGGCTCGGTCATTTCGAAGAATGGATGACTATATTTATTCCAGCGAAAAAAGTATTTATGGTAGCAGTTGGATTAAGTAGAGAAATGATCTGCATCGGACTTAGTGGTCAAATTGAGGAGGTACTAGTCAGGTTTAACACACGAGACAAGAGAAAGCCTCGGACCAAAACTTAACAACAGGTTGTTATGGTCAAGTAAGTAAGTAGTTATTTCATAAAAATATGAAATATATAAAATTTTAACTAAATAAATTTTATTAAATAAGAGTTCAATCAAGAGTTCAATAAATAAGAAATAAATTTAATATAAAATTATTATGGAATAAAATATGAATAAAAATATTCATTAACCTTTTCGATCTCGTCTGAGCGAATCGTGGGGTAAAGGTAGCATGACTTTCTCCTTATTAGGTTCCTAGATTAGATTCTATACACAAGAGAGAGTAATAAAATCATGCAATATATAATACCTCTACAAAAGAATAGTATTGAAATTTAACAATTAAAAATAAAACTATAATTAATTAATGCAATTATTCTACAGCTGTTTTATGATTCTGTTATAATATAACATAGCAAGTCAATTGGTTAAGTGTAAATTAATAAAAACATACAAGTCAAGTACGATTTTGGGTCAATTGGCTAATGAACGCTGACTCTAAGATTTAAATTTGGCAGGGCATGAGTTCAATCCTTGGTACCTGCAGTTTCAAAAAATTTTTTACGAATAATCAAATACATGAAATAATTTCATGTCCACTGTTGATGGATATTTGGCAATACTCGATACAGTTGTATGGTCAGTCAAAAATTCAATTAATTAATAAAATGGTAATGCTGTAATTTAATGCTATTCGAAATACAATAGTTTATATTAAGAATTAAGTTTCTTTCATTAAAACCGCTATTAAAAATCAATTTAATATTAAGGCCGTATGCGAGTTCGAGTAAATTGATGCTAAATTTAGGGAAATAGTAAATTATGTCGGTATGGCAGCGAATGTTGGTATTTACCAGAATTTCGAATAAGGTAAATTAGATAAAAATTAGATAAATTAGGTGTTACCATTGTGAAAATTTTATAAGGTGTTTAATAAATAGATAAATAAATTTGAAAACTTTTAACCAAAAATAATAAATAAGTGCAATAAATAAATAAATATTTACATAAGTGCAGTGCAAAAAATCCCTAGGAAATTTCAATTTACTTGACCTAAATTTACTCGAACTCGCACAAGGCCTAAATAAGAATTATAATTTTTTTTAAACCACATAAAATTTAAATTTTTACCATTATCATTTATCGATGTATGCAATATAAAATGGAAACCTACTTATACTTAATTATCATATACACATAGGATTAAATATACTAACTTTATTCCATAGATATGTTAGATGCCTTACCTCTTTGTCATCCTGCTTATGTTGATTGTTGAAATATGTTTTTAAGGTTAATTTTGTTCCACAGTGTATGCATTTGAAGCAACCCGAATGGAAGAATGTGAAATCTTTAAGTGGACCCACTCTATCAACTTGGTATACTGTTTCATTGCATCGCAGGCAGGTGGATTCGTAGAAATTCGACCGATACATGTTTGGTGACTTCAAGACTGATTTTACATAAATTTTAATTGAATTATTTGAATTTTCTTTATTTACTTTATTTACTTTATTTGCTATATTATTAAATATTTTGGCTAATTTCACTTATATGCGTTTTTATTAATTTCTATTTTTCTCACTTATTTATTTCTATTTATTTGGAATTTTCACTTTATTTGACTGTTTTTAGGTTAAATGACTTGAGGCGCATATTGGGTGATTTGTGGTAATGGAATGTGCGCCAGCGCACGTTTTTCTCGTTTCTTGCCAAAAACACAGTTTTTAGTTAAGACTTTTGCATGATTTGTTTGTTTTTGAATAGCCAAATGTGCATGTCACGTGAATCCCGACTTTGCTGGAAAGCGTTTGGTTTTCATGAGCAACTGCAAAAATATGTAAAAAAAAAACTTTTATTAGAAATTTATAGATAAGTAAACAAGTAGAGATAGAAAATTTCTATAAAAAATATTTAAAAAAAATCTTTTTTTTACCTTTAAATATAGTTTTAATAGAAACTGAGTTTTCAATAAAAATCATAATAAGCATGGATATAAATGTGTATTTTTATCAAGTTTTCTATAAAACACAGAAAATTAACTTAGCTTTTTCTGAATTTATGTGGGAGGATGATGCTTATATTTGGTGTGATTTGGTTATATGTCAAGTTTAAAGTAAATCTATTTATATACTATAACAGAAGTAGTATATTTATTAATATTAAGAAATTTATTATTAATACTATAAAAACAGAAAATATCATTTTTATAAATTCAATGTATATGTGTAAATAATTATTTTTCTCTAAATGATGGTATTGTACAGTAGTTTAGGAATATAAAATATCAGATATCAGACAGAATTATTTTACGTGAACAGCAGATTGTTTGTAAAGGCTTTCTACAAAGTGGAGTTTCATTCCAACCAAACAAACTTAAAGAAAAATGAGACTTACTCGATACTCACTGCAATACCCTACATTAATAGAATTGTATTATTTCATTATAAAATACAGTTATAGATATATTTAAATATGACCTTATTTAAAAGATTGGATAGGTCATCAGAAGTTAAACATTTCATTGCTCTGATTGATGGTGCAGTGGTTTGCAGAGGTGATTTTGTTTATAATCTACAAATGATTTTTGAAGATTTTTGAAGAAAACACAAAATATCTACAAGCATTTAAAGTTTCACAAACCACCTTTAAATAGGGCTATGGCCTTTTGGACATAGCCTCTACAACATTTAGTCTGTAAAATCAAAACTCAAACCCGTTTTTTTACTGTGGGGTTATACTTCTCTTTAGTACCTTCCATTTAAGTTCAGTTGTATTCAAATGCAATAAGAAATAGGTAAGTAGAGGCAACTTACAGTTATATTTTAGATCAAGATATACAGAAATCAATGCATTATAGAAATACTTACGTTTATTCTATTATCATATATCTCACTATTAGTTTTTAGAAAAATTATATTTATATAAAGAGAACACAACAAAAGGGTGACCTTTACACATGTTTTTTAATTTATAATTCCCCAGGATAAATGTATATACTGAATATAAAATATCAGAACAACCTAGTGTATGTGAAAAGAAAATGTATATAGCTAATTTAATAAGACGAATAATATGCTTAAATATATTCTTAAGGTACCTTCAAAGAAACGCGGTACGGAACGATATGCGGTAAATATAACTATTACGTGAAAAATCAAAAAAAAAAATATTACGTACTATATTTAAAATGATGGACCTCACGATACAAGGCAATTATTTTGGTAAAAAAAAAAGTTAACATTAAAAAATTAAATATAAAAAAACTGCTTCACGTGAAAAATCTATTTAAAAAGTTTTTTATAAAAAATTTTTACAAGCAGTTTAACTTAGTTATATTATATTAAACTTCTTTGATTTCTAAACTAAGACATTTTTGATATATTTAGCAAATTGATTGATATATTTATGGGACTAACTTGAGCATTAGTACTATTTTTTGTTAATACTTAGTTTAAAAAAATTCAGGCTTTAGTATTATATTATTTTTGACAAAGCGCACACGGCGTGGCTTATAATATTATAAAACAACATATATTTATTTTAAAAATAATAAATAATTTACAAGCTAATATAAATAATATATTTAACTATACGATATCTTTTTATATATTATGCCTTTCGCTTTTTATTTTTGAACATTTTGAAAATACGGATAATTACTAATTTTACTAGCAAACTAATTAACTGATTTCAATTTTAAAATTTAATTTCTTTTACCTAAAATTATATTTCGTTGCATAATAAAATAATATTACAGTATATTACTTGAAATATTACACTTTTACTTAAAATTGATCTTTTGCAATTATTTAGATTTGGAGCATAAATAATCGTAAATAGCAGGGCGTAAAACCGAACAAATTACGTGCACTTCGAAATAAACAAAAGACTTAGGAAACAAACTTTTGGCTACTGTAGCGTGTTACATCATTAAATGGATTGTCTAAGTATTTCGTACTAATTATTTATTTTAATTTTTTTATTTACTCAGCTTGAAATGCAACCAAAATTAAAAAAATATTTTAGCTAAAATTATTGTAATATAATTATTCAATTAAAAAAGGGGAAATGTGAAAGTTATACATTTCACAAACAAAACAAAATAAAAAAATAAATAATTTTAAACGTTCGCTAGATATACAAAACTTCCCAATTTTATTTAAAAAAATATAAACAATTAAATATTATATTAAGTTAAAGCATTTGAAATAAAAATATATTTTTATTTTGCTCAAGTCATTACTGCATTTTAATTAATATTATTTTAATTAGTCATAATGAGCATCTTGATGTATTAAAAACGTTTTGTCGGCTAAATGGTATTTAATCTGGTCATAATTAACTTGGCTTTATTAACTCTTTATCTACTTAAACCAAAAACAGTGTTGTAAATCTCTTCACAAAAGTTGATTTGCAATATTATTTCTCTGAGCTGTGGATGACATTACAAGCAAATGCAGTGACATCAAAGTGCAACAATCTCAACATTCCCAGCTATTTGCAGTTGTATTTCAATGCATATATAGTCTCATTAACTTTTTTATTGTGTATAGAAAAATAATTACTTGATTTCAACTGCGGTCGAGGTCATTGGCAACTAAGCCGCCAGTTTGTCGCTTATACTCGACACCAGAAATGTCGTCAGCAGCAGCAGCAGAAGTAGCAGCATCAGCAGTCATCACGAACCAACAAAGTCCATACATCAAAAGTCTTGAAACATTACAAAAATAAAAAGTAACACTTCTCCCTACATTTCTGTTTGTTTTTTCTGTTTTCGTTTTTAGCTTTTATAGGTTTTTGGAAACTTTTGGCTTGTTTGTTTAGTTATTTTCACATGGCGTCATAGTTCAGGTCTTTTTACTCATTCGGATATACAATACTTGCATATGCGAAATAAATAGAAAAAATTAAAAAAATTTTAAATATATGAGCACATTTTTCATCTTTCATCTTCATCTTTCACACATAGATATAATGTTTAATTTTTAAACTTTAACTTTATCATCAAGTTTATCATTCTTTTTTTGATTGTTTGTTTGCCGTTTTATTAAAATTCATTAACATTTCCTCTGGTTGCTCAATTTGATGAACTCGGTAGTATACAAAAATGAAAGTTTCTGCCTCTTACCATCTTTAATTGACACACAGACAGCTGCGCACCATCATCTTAAATACATTGACCAGAGAAGTGTAAGTTTTATATTGGCTTGTTTATTATACTAGTTTGTGGCCGATCTAAGAGATTCATTGATCGAATATTGTTTAACCAAAGTTGGACATGTTAGCAGATATGTTAAATCACAGAAAATGATGACAACACCGCTTTACAAAACGCGTGGTGTTCCAAGAAGACAAGTTTTATTTTCAGATATTTTGAGAATTTTGCATGTAACATGTTGTAAAAATACTTAAAGTTAAAATTTTATTAAAATGATATAATGTTGACTTTTATGATAAACGTGTTTTAGTTCGAGCTTGGAAAATGACATTTTGATTTATAAAATGTTTATATAAATAAACATTATAATTGCTATTAAATATTTATGTGAATTATATATTAAGCTGACCATACTCGAAACAGCTGTCTACTCAACCAAAAATTCAATAAATTAAAAAAAAATATATAACATTTTTTTTGCTATAGTTCACTACTTCTTGAAACCTCTACTATATGGAGTAATTCAAGGTAACGTAGTTACGATCTTCTCTCCAATCACTCTCGATTTTTTCTTTCTTTCGAGTTTGGACATATGTTAATGTATTGCAAGCATAATGTATAGTTTCAGTCTGCCCTTCAATACGAATGAACTCGATCAAAATGTATTTATTTATTCGAATATATGCTTTAATATTTTGAATAAAATATCTATATAACACATTTGAAATAAATAAATAAAAAATGTAAAAGTATAAAGAATATTATATTAAGAATATTTTATTTTAAAGAATAAAAATTAATCAAAATTTCTTTTAATCGTCATAATGGTATCTCTGCTTGTAAGAACTTTAAGTGATCACTAAAAAAACTAAGCATATAGTATATAGTTTTTAATATTGTCATGTATATTCACCTATGGAATGGAATAACATTGACTGAAAATTACAATACAGAAAGTATGATATATGGGGATGGTGAATGCCTTACGTTTTAATGAAAAGAAAAATACCAGAAGACGAAAAAAAAAGAAACAAACGATCATGAATGGAATAGTTTCAAGAAGTTATTACGATACATAAGATATATGAGAATATTGAAGGCCCTATACTACTTTTCTACTGGCTTCGTTAGAACAATTGAGTTACTTGAGATTTAAATAATTCAAGGAATCTCAAGTAAATAAACTGGTTTAACAAAGCCAATGGAAACATACTATAAGCTTAAGTTAGAAAGTTAAAACACAACAGAAAAAATAACAAAAAAATAAAGAAAAATAAAA